TGTGTTTGTTTAATATCTGCAGGACACGGATTTTACGTCATATGGCATCTGAATTGAAATTGAATATGAGGAGTGATGGTTATGTGAATGTTAATGATTTACTAAAGCTGAATTTGAAGACATTAGCTAATATTCCTATACGATCCCACACTATCGATGACATTAGGGAGGTCAGTTGATTTAGTATATGTTTGTTTTCTTTTCTATTTCCGGCTTCACATGCTCATTCCATTTTATATGCTATTTGTTTCTGTTTTAATTTGAATCTCATGTCTCATTATGAGGGAATCATTTTTGATATAAAAAACAAAATATATAAAATAAAGTCATATTGTTGATATTAGCCCAACTCCAATATGTTTATTTTTATGTTATGAAACACAAGATTGCATTGTTTTCATTCGCTCTTTGAGCATTGAACAATATTTTACATCTTTGCTTTGCTTCCATAGACATTTCCTTTCTTACTCCATTCTTAGAAGACAGAAGATTGTTTCTTCGTAATCTTAATCTTGAGTAAACAGTTAGACCATGGATTATGAATTTACTGATCCATCCTTTCAACAACTGAATTAAGGGAATAATTACTAAGTGTTGGATTTTCCGCATTTTGCGGTTCGCCTCTAGTCGCCTAAATTGCGGCGTTTGACTTGCATTCATTTTGTTGGGTTTGAAGGAGTGGATTTAGTCCCTCCTTGCTTTGAGATATGGCCCGTGTTGTGTTTATGAGTGGGGGCAATCGTCACCTTACAAGCCGACTTGGTAGGGATGAGTTAGGCCAAACCCACACATTCTAAGATGGTATCAGAGTCTATCCTAGATCACTTGTTGGGCTTCCCACATCGTCCATGCTTCGGCCTCATTGAGACCCGAGCGTGAGGGTGTGTGTTGGAATTTCCACCTTCATTCCGGTCCGCCCCTAGTCGCCTAAATTGTGCCATTTGGTTTGCCTTCATTGCAGCCTCCAATACCTTTATTGTGTTGGGTTTGAAGGGATGAATTTAGTCCCGCGTTATTTAGAGATATGGCCTGTGTTGAGTTTATAGTGGGAACAATCTTCACCTTACAAACCGGTTTTGTATGAATGAGTTAGGCCAAACCCACACATTTTAAGACTAAGGAACTTGTCATCTGTTTTATTTAATAAAGTTGTTCTGCTGATTAGTAAGCATCATATATTAGGGATTTTCTTTCCTTTCTTTCTTCTTTTCTTGTACTCCTGTGTTTTGATAGGACCTATACTCCTTTTTTCTTGTACTGTTTTGAAAGGACCTATACATGAAAAAGATGAGAAATACAGAATATATTTTTCTTCAATATTTGTTTACCTAGTTATTAGTATGAACACTTTACTGTAATTAAACGGTCTCAATGATTTTCTTTCCTTTTTTCTTGTACTCCTGTGTTTTGAAAGGATCTATACTCCTTTTATCTTGTACTCCTGTGTTTTAAAAGGACCTATACATGAAAAAGATGAGAAATATAGAATAGATTTTTCTTCTTCAATATTTGTTTATCTAGTTATTAGTATGAACACTTTACTGTAATTAAACGATCTCAATGGTTTTCCTCAGGCTGTTCGAAAAGACAATAAGCAACGTTTCAGCCTCATAGAAGAGAATGGGGAGCTACTAATACGTGCAAACCAAGGCCACACAACAACGGTGAAGTGTTTTATTGTTCATCAAATACTAACTCATCCCATTTGCCTATGAAGTTTTGTATAATTGAAGTGAGACTGTACCCTATAACACATTCAAATGGAAATGCAACTAATTATTTTTTTGAATTCGTGTTCAGATGCCCATCAATGAAAATTTCTTTACACTAAATGACTTGTTATGTTTTCTCTTTAGTCTTGCATTCTTACAAAGTAATATGACATGAAGTTATATTTCTGAATTCTAAATGACTGCAAGTTTTGTTTTTTTTATAAGAACTGCTTACACCGCTTTAGATATAGTCATTAGTTAAATATTACACTATAAAGTCCACCTTTAATTGTTAGTATTGATACAATTTAAGTCTAAAGCACTTAAGGTATGATATTGTTAGTAATTAAGTACTGAAAATAACTTATATTTGTGATACTTATGGTATGATATTGTTAGTACTTAAGTACTGAAAATAACTTATATTTGTGATAGGCACTCAATGGTTAAGAGGGGAAATGAGAATGTGTAACGACTGAGTTGTGTAGTTGACTGTATAAATATCTTTGGGAGCAGAGTCAACAGGCATTTAAGAAGTAACTCATTCTGTTAGGATTTAGAGGGAAAAGGAACCCTCAAATACACCTTGTGGTCATATTGATCTAGGATTCATTAATTATTACTGAAGGACTCAGTCACTATTATCATATTCTGTTATTTGTGATTTTCTTCATGCACAAGTTGAATCCATCAACTTGTCAAGTAATTAACATGATAGAGTGTTATGCACACTATTGATGATAGTCTCATGATTAATCAATGTGGAGGAAAAAGGGGAAAGCATGACGAGTGTGAAGTGGAATCAGTGGGGCTTAGTATTGGGGCGATTTCCCATCATTAGGCTGTTTGAATTAATATAGATAAACTCTTAAAATATGTTGTCTCAATGCTTTAGGTTTGGTAAAAGAAAAAATATTATCACACTTATGGAAAGACATTATGTGGATAATAAGTATCAATTGTTTCTTCTATGAAATGAACTAAACCGTTTTTAACATTGGCTGTATACTGCCCTTGCTAGTGGAAGACATCTTTAAAATGACTGTTTTGCTTACAATGGCTACTCTTATTGCATAAAATATCAGGTTATTAAGCATTTGGTTGTGAATTCATTCAATGTTCTTCATTTGATGTTAAAATACTGTCATTGACTTTTGATCTGCAGGCTGTCGAAACTGAAAGCTTATTGAAACCAATCCTTTCTGCTGAAGAATTTCCAGGTGCATAATTATTGAAGTTGTATTGCTATAGAGTATAGTCTTCATTCATGATGAACTTAATACTTAACAACAAGTTAACTACTAGATTATATGCATATTTGTAAGGTAATATGGAATTATCTTTTGAATAATGGATATTTTGGCACATATCAATGTCAGGTTTACCATGAACCATATCACATCAACAAAATTCTACAACAACTGAAGAGTTGTATACTGTCTTTACAATTCACATTATGTTAAAAAAATCTATATTGCGGTTTGATTAGTTCTATATCTTGATTTTCCCCCAATATGCAGTTTGTGTGCATGGAACTTATAGAAGAAACTTAGACTCAATTTTATCATCTGGTCTGAAACGCATGAAAAGATTGCATGTTCATTTCTCTTGCGGCTTACCGACAGATGGAGTAATAAGTGGTAATGTGATATATTATTGAAAAGAATCTTCTTTATCCATGGAAAAGTTTAAATTTGGACATATTTTGTTTCATTATTGTTAGGGAAGTTTAATAGTTTTTTGTTATTCTCTATAAGATATACCTGCCTAATTTCCTTGCTATTATTTTTTGTTTTCAGGTATGAGGCGAGATGTCAATGTTCTGATATTTCTTGATGTTAGAAAAGCATTGGAGGGTATGATAATATTTTAAACTTGTTCTAGATTTAATTAGTTTTTTTGTTGCTTCTTTCTAATATCTTTGATCTCATTTCAGAAGGTATAAAGTTATACATTTCTGACAACAAGGTGATATTGACAGAAGGTTTAGATGGTGTCGTTCCATCCAAGTATTTCCAGAAGATAGAGTCATGGCCGGAAAGAAAGCCTATACCTTTTTAAAATCAGATTTTGTTTTACATATTATAAGTGGATGTTTACTAAATGGTTGTGTATATTTGTAGCTAAATTTTCACAAACTTCAATTCAAGTTATTATTATTAGATTACACCAATTTGATTCCTAATTTTGTTAATGATTTGGATCAGCTTACTTTGGATCATGACCATATTAAGTATATAACTTGAAAAAAAATGGTTGAAAAGCATGATATTTTTATCAAATATGTGATTTTCATCCTCATAAATATAAACGGTAATATTTTGAAAATAGTGTAGAGTATTAAATAGAGAGGACATAATTAGAAAAAGAAAATTAATTCTATAAAAAATAAGAATAATATTCATTTTAAAAATGTATTTATATGCTAAAGTGATCTACGTTCATCGAATTGGGCAACCACAATTCTCTCGAAATTGGGCGAAGTGAACGTCTCGAGAGAGTAATTGAACCCCATCGTTTTGCTCTTCAGCCATTTTCATGACAGAATTTTAGTTTCTTCTCAGGCGATCTATCTTTTTCTTTAAAAAATTCTCATTACGCAATTACACTTTATATAGAATTTAATTGAACTCACGTATATCAGTGGCATGACCATTATTCTTGTTTTTACACGTTAAAATTACTGCTTTGAGCTCAACGCAATTAGTGTTTGTTTGGTAAAAGACAAAAACCAAACCGTATAAAATTTAATTTTCAACATAACATAACCTTTGTTTTTAGTTATCAATAATGTCACATTTGAAGTTAAGGCAGCCTGTTTCATCTTACGTTGCAGCAGCCACAATACCCACTTCCAACATTGTTTCTCACGAAACCACCAACCTCCATATCCAAAATCCCAAACCAAAGCACCCACAACACTTCCTCTCCCTCCTCCTTCACAACCCTTCCCACCACCAATCCCTCCAACAACTCCACTCTCAAATCATCACCTCTTCCCTTTTCCACCATCACCCTCTCCACATCAACCCCACTTCCCTCCTCCTCTTCAACAACCTCATCCGTTCCTACTCCCTCTCCTCTTCCCCCCATCACGCCCTTCACTTCTTCACCTCCACTCTCAACTCCCTCACACACCCTCTCTCTCTTGACTCCTTCACATTCACCTTTCTCTTCCACACTTGCGCGAATTCTAACTCTAGTTCTTCTTTTGGGTTTCATCTCCATTCTCTTGTTTTTAAACTGGGTTTTCAATCTCATGTCTATGTCCAAACTGGGTTGCTTCGTATGTACTCAAGCTGGGGTCTTTTGGTTTCCGCAGCTGAGGTGTTTGACAAAATGCCGCACACAAGTATTGTTACTTGGAATGTTTTTATTAATGGTTTGATTAAATGGGGTCAGCTGGATTTCGCTCGCTCCGTGTTTGATCGGATGTTGATTCGGAGTGTGGTCTCGTGGACTCTTGTTATTGATGGGTATACGAGAGTGAATAAGCCTTTGAAAGCTTTGGCCTTGTTTAGGAAAATGGTTGAGGTTGATGGTATAGAGCCGAATGAGGTTACTCTTTTGACTGTTTTTCCTGCTATTGCTAGTCTTGGGGATATCAAGATGTGTAGGTCTGTTCATGGGTGTGTGGAGAAGAGAGGGTTTAACGCGGTTGATATAAGGATTGTGAATTCGTTGATTGATTTGTATGCCAAGTGTGGATGTATAGAGAGTGCGAGTAGATTGTTCTCGGAGATGCCTGAGTGGAGGAAGAATTTGGTGTCGTGGAATTCTGTTATATCTGGTTTTGCTATATTTGGGATGGTGAGGGAGGCTGTGGAGACTTTTGAAAGAATGGAGAAGGCTGGGGTGCGGCCGAATCATGTGGCGTTTCTTAGTGTTTTGAGTGCTTGTAGTCACGGGGGATTGGTGGAGGAGGGGCTTGAGTTTTTCGGTAAAATGGTGAATGATTATGGGCTTGTGCCGGATGTTAAACACTATGGTTGTGTGATAGATATGCTTGGGAGAGCTGGGAGGTTGGAAGAAGCTGAAAAGGTTGCCTTGCAGGTTCCCCGTGAGGTTGCAAATGATGTTATTTGGAGGACACTTCTTGGAGCTTGCAGTGTTCATGATAATGTTGAAATTGGTCAGAGGGTGACCAAGAAGATACTGGAGATGGAGAAAGGGCATGGCGGTGATTATGTTCTAATGTCCAATATTTTGGCAGGTGTTGGGAGATTCAAGGATGTCGAGAGATTAAGAGAAATGATAGATAAGAGAAATGCCTTTAAACTCCCAGGCTATAGTTTAGTCTAAAGTATCTCTTTGTTATCCTCAGGCTGTTCGAAAAGATAATAAACAATGTTTCAGCCTCATACAAGAGAACGGGGAGCTACTAATACGTGCAAACTAAGGCCACACAACAACGGTAAAATATATTTTATCCACCAAATATTGACTCATCAAATTTTCCTATTATGTTTTGTATAATTGAAGTGACCGGGAGTGTACTCTGTAGTACATTCAAATGGTAATGCACCTAATTATTTGTTCAAGTTTGCTAGTCATTGTTGTGTTGAGATGCCATCAATGAAATGTTCTTTGAAACTATTTTTTCTTGCAATTCTCTCTCTTTTCTTTTGCATATTTTCACCTATATGACATAAAGTCATATCTCTGAAGTTCTAAACCACTGCTTGTTTTTTTTTTTTTACTTTATAAAGCTGCTTCCATGGCTTCAAAATATATTGATTAGTTAAATGTTTCACTAAAAAAATATATGCTTTCATTGTTAGTACTATTAATACCATACAAATCTAAACCACTTAAGTTATAATATTGTTTGTACTGAAAATAACATATCTGTGCTAGGCAATTAATGATTAAGAAAGTGTAAGCAAAGTGGTGTAACTAATTGGGAGCAGAGCTATATTGTCAATACTATGCTATAGCAGAATAACACAGTGGTGGTAGGATTTGGGCATTGCGCTTTTGGCTTGCGAGCCGCCGTTAACTGCCGCTAGTTCCACTTATCTTTACTTGGATAGAGGTGAAAGAAAAGTAGAATTCAATTTGTGAACACGAGAAAAACCTTGTCAGGACTGCTCACCACTGGGCTATAGACCTACTGGCATATAATTGCTCTTGGCTTCAGATATTCCGAACTACTCAAGTTACGAGATTGCAATAATATCTATTGCATAAGTGTCATTCATTCAATATTTTCGATATTCTCTTAAAATATGGCCATTCACTTTTGATCCGCAGGCTGTTGAAACTGGAAGCTTATTGAAACCATTCCTTTTGGCTGAAGAATTTCCAGGTGCATATTTATTGAAGTTTGTTTAGCTAGAGTATAGACTTCTATTACAGCGAACTTAACAGTTAGCTACACATTAACTGCTAAATTATGTACATATTTGTAATTCAAAATTATCTTTTGAAAATTGTATATGTTGGCATTTATCAGTTGTACCATGAACCATATCATATTAACACAGTTCTATAACAACTGAAGAGCCGTATACTGAATTTACAAATCATATTCTGTTAGAAAAAAATTCTATATTGTTATTTGATTTGCTTTACATCTTGATTTTTCCATAAAATGCAGTTTGTGTTCATGGAACCTATATAGAAGGAACTTAGACTCAATTCTAACATCAGGTCTGAAACCCATGAAGAGATTGCATGTTCATTTCTTTTGTGGTTTACCAACAGATGGAGAAGTAATAAGTAGTAATGTGATATATTATTAAAAAGAATCTTATTTATCAATCAGAAAAGCTTAAATCTGGATATATTTTCTCGTTATAGTTAGGTGTTGTTCCATCTAAGTATTTCCAGAAGATAGAATCATGGCCGAAAGAAAGCTTATTCCTTTTTAAAATCACATTTTGTTTTATTTATGTAAGTATATTATAAGTGGATGGTTACTAAATGGTTGTGTATATTTGTAGCTAAATTTTCACAAACTTCCGTTCTAGTTATCATTATTTTTAGATTACACATTTGATTCCTGGTCTTTTAATGATTTAGATGAGCTTTACTTTGAATCATGATAATTTGTACTATAAAAATATAATATTTTTTTATCACATTAACCTTGTTAGAGTATCTGATTACATATATAGGTAGGTAGTATTTCGTATCTGAATCTGTAATAGGTAAAATTTATGTTTGACTTAAATTGGTAAATTTTAAACCTAATTGTGTTTGACCTAAATTAGTACATTTTAAACTTAATCGTGTTTGACCTAAATTGGTAAATTTTAAATCTAAATTGGTAAATTATGTACAAGAAATGAGTAAATTTAAAGTGGTCTTCTATATAAAGGGTTGTTTTGTAAAAGACCCAGAGCTAAGATATGATAGTGGGGATGTATATGTCTTTAATAGTCAAGATGTAGATTATTGGTCCTTCTTTGAAGCCTGTGACTTTGTGAAATCTCTTAAACCTGAGTTTGATGTTAATACTGTTAAGATGTGGTGGAAACATGAACAAAGATGTTTTGAAGAAGATTTAAAACCATTTAAGGACGATGGAGATGCTACTGAGTTAATTATGTTTGTTGTTGAACATAAATGTGCCTAGAGAGGACTTTCCTAGAGAAGAGCTACCTAGAGAGGACGATGGAGATGTTACTGAATTAATTATGTTTGTTGTTGAACATAAATGTGCCTAGAGAGGACTTTCCTAGAGAAGAGCTACCTAGAGAGGAGCTGTCTACACAGGCCAGTCAAACAACCCAAGTCAACATGGTAACAAAAAAAGGGATACTTTATTATCCTTAAACTATTTTTTTCTTTCTATTTTGTAATTTCAGAAGCTTGTGTTGTTTGATAAATTGATTTTGTTAGAACCAGGGGAGGCGTAAAGGTTTTCTATGTAAATGCACAAGTAAGCATGGAACAAAGTAAAAAAAGATAATAAAAAAAAAAGAAATCAAAAGTGGGAGTAAGTGATCAAACTATCAATGAACCAAATGAGATGGAACCAATTGTAAATGAACCATGTGTGAATGAAGAAAATATAGAAGAAGCAATTGTTAATGATGGAAGTGGAAATGATGTACCAGGTGTGAATGAAGACAATATGGATGATGCAACTGTCAAATGATGAAACTGGAAACGTACCAACTACACTGTCTTCACCTTTGGACAAGTTCTATGATTAGGATGTTGATACTTTGACTACTTTGCTGGAGTATGATGATGTTTTGGGCATCCAGCCTTTGTGTGTAGATACATCACCTATCAAGCCAAAGGCTACTGAACCAAAGTGTTAGACGACAACGTCTTATTTAGAGAGAGGGTGAAGTGAATAGATCACCGAACCAAAAAATCAAGTTAAAAATTATGGTTTTAAAAGTAATTAAAAAAGAGTGCACGCGAAAGATTTTCAAAAAGTGTCGTCTATACGAATCAAGCTATTGGAAGTCGAATATACAAATATAAAACAAATTATGAAATGAATACTATAATATAGAATTTATATACTTCAATCAAGTAACAAGATATTAATCGTAGCAAGTTACTAGCAATATTATTTACAATGGTAATAATCAAAAGAACAAACAACAATTTGTTGAACACTTGGCGTGCGACCAAATTTTCAGAATTTTTCTTTGAGTTATGTTGATACAAAAAACTCTTATAATCAAAAGTGGTTATAAGCAAATCAACACCTAATTTAAAATAAAAACAGTCACGGAAAAATTCCTACGAGTCGATCGATTACTCATTGCTATTAGACAAATTGATTGATGAAAGTTAAAGCAAGTAAAGCGATAAGAAAAAGGGACAAAAGGATTTGTCTACACAGTTTCCCACTTCCGTCCTCGTGTGTGGATACGTCTGTGTCTAATTCCAATTTGAAATTAGGATAATTCTTACTATGCAAAAAGTCGATACAAGAGAAGCATTCCAAGAGCAACCCTACAAGCCCTAATTGTTTGTTGTTGATTCAACCCCTTCTCTTCTTTTGATCTTGAGAAAGACCAAGACACAATAAATCCCAATTGACTTGTCGATATTGCTACTCCTTTGCATTCTTTATCTCTAAAGATTTTTGCACACAATCAATTGTACCTATTGCAACACAAGACTTCAATTCGATTCGTCATTCTTGTGCTACTTCCTTTGCGTTCTTTATCTCCAAAAGGTCATTTGTGTTCTTTATCTCCAAATGCTTTCACTAGGCCGCAATCCTATATTGAACTCTAAATCAATCAATGATCTTGGAAGAAAAAGCCGCGGTTTTTCCAGATGAAGACCCCTGTAAATCTTAACTCAATATTCTCGGCTATACAAGAGCCTAATTGGACGTTATCAAACCTCGTCTAGATGGCGCCCCAATAAAAGATTATCATGTGTGATTTTTTAGTGTGTATGCATAGGTTGGAGGTTGAAAGTGAAGAGCAATTGCAGAAAATTTTTATGGTATCATCAAGTTGGAATGATGCATGAATGATGTATTTATAGTTGTGGAAGTTTAGATGCAAAAAGGAGAATTTTGGAATTAAAGATAATTAAAAAATTGACCTAATCAAACAGTATGTGTCGACCTAAAAATTGTATGTGTCGACACATAGTAAAATTTCAACTGTATGTATCGACCTGAAAAATGGATGTGTCGACTGAAGCATGTCAGTAGCTTTAAGCTTTAAAAAAGCAGAACATGTGTCGACCTGAAATTCGTATGTATCGACATATAAAATAAGAGTTTATGCAATTTCTTAAAAGCTTCAGTATGTTTTGACCTATATGCATGCATGTGTCGACCTAAGCCCTCCAGAGGCTACAAGCTTTAAAACTAAGTTGCGTGTGTCGACCTGAAATACGTATGTGTCGACACATGCAATACAAATTTATGCATAAACTTGTTTTTCAAGACTTTAGTCAATTTCAAAATGGTTTTTAATGGTTCCTAAGACCTCTAATGGAAAGGAGTGTCACAAGACACAGAGATACCATCCAATATACATAAATGCTAAGTTTTCCTAGTTTTGGCATCATGTAAAACATCTAATGGTGAATTTGTATTCACACAAAGGTTGGTGAGCCAATGACTAGTGAACTAAAGGCTGTTGAACCAAAGGTTACTAAACCAATGACTATGTTATGTTATGTTGATGTTTTGATGTATTGCACGATAAACAAGATGTCATGACAAATTTATGTAATGTACTGGTTATGAACTGTTCTGGACTGGGCCTGCTCTTGGTCCAACTCCATATGAGGTCCAACCCAACTATGTTTTTTAAGACCAGCTGACCAAATCTGCCCTCGACTGTGTCGAGCAATAACCCCCACTC